CTGAATTCTAAACGTGCAATTGGATCAAATCTCACATCCTCGATGTGACCAAATGTTGGGCAACCAAATATCCGACACAACCCAAAATATGAAGCAGCTCCACCAGATCTAAAATCTCCACACGCAGCAATCGGCAACCGATGACCAAGATGCCAAATATGTAGAAGCTCCAAAACCAAAACCAATGCTCGACAACCAACATCAATCCCCCTCCAGTAAGGAACGACCCATTAAAACTGTCATCTCATCTCGTCACCCCAATATCTTCACATCAATGAAATGTCTCAAACTGCCATGAGCTCGGCACAAATACAAGAAATAACCCTTACCAAAGCTAAAACGACGAATTACCTTTCTGTCAATATACTTTTTCAATTGTTGTTGACTTCTAGGACTTCACACCAATGAGACCTGACTGCAACCCATCAATGCCTTGAACAATCCCCAACTGCGGAAACCAAATACCGATTACCTCCCAATGTTGCCTCCTTGGAAAGTCCCCAAATGCCTGACTGAACACCACCTAAAAGACCCTTCGATCGATGGATAGAAGTGCCAAACTCTACCTCGGTCTTCTTGCTCATACCAATGTGCTCAAAGGACTTCAATCTGTAGGTCAAAGCACTCCTTAACAAACCATGTACGGCATAACCAATCAAATAACCCAGTCTCAATAAATACCACAGTCTAGCTAAATCTAAAGAAGTCGTCAGCTCTCTATCAAACATCGTGCTCCCAATCAAATAATATAAATTATTCCTCCTGACGCCCTTCATCACAATCATGGACCCTAATGTGATCTTCAAACGTGAATCGACCAAGGTCACCCTATAGCCTGATGCCTCCAAAACTCCAAATAAAATGATGTTCTTCTTCAACTGAGGAATGAACCTCACTCCAACCAACTCCCGAATCACTCTGTCACTCATCCTAATCCGAATAGTACCGATACCACCAATAGGACATTCATGATCATTATCCATAAGCATGACCTCCCCTCTTTCCAACTCCTGAAAGCTAGAGAACCAATCCCTCCTAGGAAAAATATGGTAAGAAGTACCCGAATCTAATATCCACTCTGTAGAGCCGGCAACACAAACTGACAGTAGTGCAGATGACGAGTAGCCTGAAGAATCTGAATCTGAATTATTATCACTAACCTTGACAACATTCACCTCTGAAGCTTGAATAGCTTTCCCCTTATTCTTCCCGACTCGATCAACCAAACTATGGGCATTCGGCTTTCCAATATCCATCCTCTTTACAAAAGACACACTGATTCCTACGAACTCCAAGATGTACCCCACTAGGCTGTGACCTCCTATCACGATTTGGACTTTTTTCTATTGCGACTAATGCCCCCGCTACCGGCTCAACTAAAATCTCCTTATCCTTCTTTCGAAGCTGATAATTCATAAGTGCAGCGGTGACCTCACTATAAGAAAGAGATGCCTTCCCATTAATAAGAGTAAGAACGAAGGTCTCATATTTCTCGTCACGTAAGGAACTCAACAACAACAACGCATTATCCTCATCTTCAATCATCACATCTATATTCGCCAAATCCGTAAGAAGCTTCGTGTAGTGATTCATGTGATCAGCAATGGAGGTCCTCTTCTTCAATTGGAAGCGATAAAGCCTCTTCTTCAAATATAAGTGGTTCTCTATACTCTTTGTCAAATACTTACCCTCTAGGATCTCCTAAATCTTCTTAGCCAAAGTCTCATTGATCACATCATATTTTAATTCTTGAGTCAAACAAGATCTAATCACACCATATGTCGTTCTATTCATCTTTTTCCAAACCTTCTCCTCATTGTCGTCCAGTTTCCCGTCAAACTCCAAAGTATCTTCCAAATTTTACGCATTAAACGCATCCAAGACTTTACATCTCCAAAGACCAAAATTATTTGTGCCATTAAACTTTTCCACGTCTATCTTCATAGAGTAAATATTTAAACTTTGGACGGTCTTCACGCCAGAAGTACCCTTCACAACTCCTTCTTTCCCGACCATCTTTCTCAAAGCACCAAAACAAATATGGAACAAATGAGGAATAGATTCAAAACTAAAAAAGATAAAGTCTTTACCAAAAATATCCCACATTTATCACTAAACGAAGCCCTAGACGAGCCTCAAAAACGACCTGCTCCTCCAAATAGCCCAAGCGTAGCCCAAGCGTAGCCCGCGCTCTGATACCACTTGTGGAGCGCCGCGGAAGCCAAACAACTAAACCAACATACTACGAGAAATCAAATCAAATGAACGTCGAGAGAAGGCCAAACGAACCAAATCAGTACCACAAACATAAACAACCAATTTTAACGTGGTTCGGCAAGTTGCCTACGTCCACAGAGCAAGAAGGGGATAGAGTTTTTCACTAATAGAGAAGAAGAGTACAAACTGAGATTACAAATTATTTAAACTCACTAATTAATCTCACCAAAAAATCTCTAATTCTCTTCAAACAAAACCCTATCCAATAGTTCAGAAAATACCTTTTTCCGTGCTCCAAATATCCCCAAGTTTCTTCTCTATTCTATCTTCCAATTGTTCCATATATATAGAAATCCTAAAATCATAAACATACTAGGAATTCTAAAATAAAAAATAAAATAAATTAGGAATCCTAATAACCTGTTACCAAAACAGATTTGGAATTATGTTACTAAAACAAATTAGGAAACATATTAGGAACCTGCAAACAGATTAGGAATCCAAATAACCTGTTACCAAAACAAATTAGGAAACATATTAGGAACCTGCTATCCAACAACAATCTGCACTAAATTATTTCTCTGTGTGTGTGTGTGTGTGTATATATATATGAGAAATATATATATATATGGAGTACTTGTCCACCAAACTTTTTTGCCACTCATATTGCTTAGGGATCCTTGTATGATATCAAAATATTTTTTATATTAATAAATGAGTGGCTAAGTAGTTTGGTGGACATCAACTTGATACCAAGTTTTTTCATTGAACTTGGTAGTGATGTGGTTAAATCCGCCCCCTATATCACACCTCAAAGATGGATCCACTTTTTTGGAGTAGGTGAATAGTGATTGAGGCTCTATCTTTGAGTTAATCAATGCTAGTTTAAGATAATTTCTGGTGCTAATGTGCTTTGTCTTCATGGAAAAAGCAAATTTGTCCTCCTCTATGTTAACTCCTCTCCTTTTACTTTACCAAATTCTTTCACAGTTCACTATGGCACGACGAGATCGAGTACACTACACAATTTCTCAAACTCCCATCACATGATTTATAGTACAAAACATAACATACGCCACATCTTTTCAAATTTGTGGCAGAAGATAATGTGCAACATTTTGTTGAAAGTCAACTTTGTCGGTCCAAGAGCCCAAACCCTTTCCATACACTATAGTTAGTTATGCTTCAAAATGAGGTTTGATGGAACTTGCAAGATTTTGAGACGTTAACTAATTAATCATGGAGAAGACAAATGCCATGCGTATTGTTTGGTGTGAGTGAGACAAGTGTCTTGTCTTGTGGCTTGATGACTCCAAAAGACATTGATTTTGCTGTTGTCTATATTAGATATTATACTTAAAAAAGCTAGTGGCTCCCATTGGTGATATGCCAAAGAGTGTGTTTGGTTCATCTTCAAGTGACTATGATTCCAATGAATAAAAAGTGTTTCTTTTAGTTTTTCGTGCATTTGTTGGAGAGTTTTTTTTTCTTTTCCGCACAACATAAGGAAAGGAAAAACTCACTCTATCACAAATCCATGCTTTGGATCAAAATTAGAAATTAGAAAAAGACCAGGAAACCTACTATCAACCCTGTTTTTCAAAATATTTTTAAAACTCGTCTTAATTCGGCCTTAAAAACTCGGAATTAGCTTTTTCTCAAAAGATGATGTTTTTGACGTTTCTGAAAAGTTTTTCCAATTGTTTTCTTGTGAACCAAACTAAGAAATATGAATCCATTTTGGTTATTCAGACATAGGAAAGCTGTGTCGGTAGTATTCATCATATGTTTTCCACCCAATTTTTTTGAACCAAACAAGCCATAAGCTAAAAGATTGGATGCATGTCGAACGTAACAAAGAAATGCCATCTATGATCTACTATGCTACTGGTATTGTCTGCTATTTCTACCGTGTTCAAAGCATAATGTATAACCACATCGAAAGTTTACCTTTAGGCTCATATTCATGGGTAGTTGAGAGCCATCAACATCTAAGAGTGCAATTAGGATTACAACTCGATATACTATCCAAAGAAATTAAGTAAAATGTAGCAAATTATCCTACCCATGCATGGTAATTCAGTACTAGTTATAGATCTCTATCACTGCATGCACCAGAACTCCAAGCCGTGTTCCACAAGGTAATATCTAGACGATAAAAACTTGATGAGTTACTTTATAGAGGAGAGAGAGAGAGAGGGTATTTTGTTAATTAGGAAGGAAATATGTTACTTTTTATGCCTAATATGACATCACAAGTCGAGGTGTGACAATTATATGTGTCAATTGTGCTCCTTTTGCAAGGGCATAGGTGCATTCGATGCTAATTAGATTTGGAGCACCAATAGTGCTAATATAAGTATCTAATAAAGAGATCACATTTGAACTGCAGTGTCATGTATATACCAGCTTTATAAAGTATTGAGCGTTAAAACTTTTTTGTTGGCCGATTTCCTGCTAGAGAAGTCAGAAGTGTATCCTACAACAAAAGATAAAAGTTTAATTATACTCTTTGTATAGATTGTTTTGAAATTGAGAGCTCAACACATGCTTCATAAATGCTTTTCTTTTCTTGTATTCAAAAATCTTCATCCTCGAACTTCTAAGCAACCTTGTTTTCTACCCTCCTTCCTTTTTCCACGTGGCTCCACACACGGGCAATCTCCACATACTACTAATAACCAATTACTAAAAAGTAGTCCAAGTCACGACAAAAGCTAAAGCCAACTATTTCTTTCTTAATAATCCCTCCCTCCTTCTCTCTACTTTCTCTCTCATCGCTAATCCTTTTGTTTTGCCCTTCGCTTATTTATGCACTGCGCTGTTCACAGCAGCCTCTTGTTATTTACTGAGTCGCGCCTGCGAGCGGAGGAGAGCACATAGAAACAATTAAAAAGGATACTCCTTTGGATTGGGTTTTTGGAGAAACGAGAAGAGATAAAAATTCCAAAAAATAAAATAATATGATGTAAGTCTTCCTCAATTTCTATTGCTCACATCTCTTTGTTCTCCATCCGTTGAATAATATGGGTTGGTTTTAGATTTATTTTACAGTAACATTTAGCCATTGGTTTTCGTCGACGAAGTGCATGGTCTGAGTCTACACAGCTGAGCTTCTGTGGATCAAAATCTTTTTTTTTTTTTTTTTTTTTTCATGGGTATTTTCCTTTGCCCTTTGGATTCTAGAAATGCGTTTCCTTTTTTTATTCTGTGGTTTAAATCTTCAGATCTGAATTTGTATTGGGATAGTCATTGTTTTCTTTTATTTTACTGTAGGAAAATACTAGATTTGAGGGTAGGAAATAATCGTAGATCTGGAATTTAGAAGATGGTTATGAGGAAAGAAAATTCTGGTGGAATTGTGATTTTTATGGGATCCCCTTTTTTGTTTTGCTTATGTTTTTAATTTAAAGAATTAGACTCATGGACAGTATTTTTTGCTGAATTTATACAAGTTGGTGAAAAAGGTTAATTTTGAATGTGGTTCTTCATTTGTTTGCTAGGTATGAAAATTTTCTGATATTGGCATAGCTCCATCCCTATCCGTACATGGTGTTGAGAATCAAATGTAAATCATCTTTTCTATATTTTTATAATTCAAATTTTCATTTTATTTATTTTCTCTTTGGAGAAAAAATTTCTTGATTTTGGGTTTGATGTATGTTTGTTGAAACTTGACATTATTATCAATTTGGTTAAAGACATTACATGGGCCATTTTCTTTCTTTGCATCATTCAGTATTATTAGATTGTTTGTGGGGACCTCAAATTTCTTCAATATGGCACATGCATATTCATGTCAATTGTCTTTCTAAAAGTATCACACTTTTCATCAATGTCATGCACCCATGTTTAGATATTTCTCTTTCCATTTTTTGGGCAAATTGAGGTTCACATTATGGACACTGTGAGTTCTGTATTTCCAAGATATATGCGAGTCCCTTTCTTTAAGGAAATTTATTTTTCAATCCTTGTTTGTCACTTACTATGTTGCAAATTAAATTTCTTGAAGATCAACTCACCATCCCCGATTAAGCAGGAAATGCGGCACAAACATTGAGACTGTTTTTTGAGCTCAAGGGTGTTCCTCTCTCTGTAAGTTGCCCATGGTATAAGTTTCAATTTTCTTTTTATTTTTTTCATGCTTTATGTGAATTCAATTTTGGTTTGGATTTCTATTATTTTACTGTATTTGCAGCGGGTACAAAATGGACTAGCTATAGTATTCTTAATAATCCAATTTATTATTGGAAGGATTAATTATTTTCTCCGGATTCTGCCCTAACTTAAAGCAACTTGTTGTTTAAAAGTAAACAGATCTTCTGGACTAACAGTAAATTTCTCTTGTTATAGGTTTTTCTTTTTCTAGGATGAGTATTATTCATTCTCGGTACTAATTCATTATAAGCAAGCACAAACTCATAATTGTTTCTTCCTCACCCAGAGAATGTTAGCAAGGCAAAAGCAAATTCCCGAGAATGAATTAGCACTGCGAATGAGTTAGCAAATGCTTTGTTAAATCACTTATAAAAACACCAAATGAATCCGGCATACGAAGTAGGTCTTACATTGAGATACAAAATTGACTGGTTAGCTGATGGCAATAGAAACTAGTAAGATCTTTTCAGATATAATCACGTCTCCATGACAAAAGATGAAGCTTAAGTATTCACACACCTCATCAATGTCATCATCAAGGTAATTGATGATTTAGCATTTTATGTTGAGACATTGTTCATAGAGTAGACCTATTCTGAGTTGGCTTTTTAACCTCATGAAAGATAGATGTGGCTTATTCTTAGAGATCAAGCATTTGATAAAATGGTTCTTCAGCCTTTCTTCATATCCCATATAATGATATTCCATAGCAATAATATAATGTTAATTGAGTGACAACACCGAAGGACTGTTGTCATGATTAGTTCCAAGGTTTTAAATGTCAGCCGACATGTTCGACATGTCGGCCGAAATATCGGTTTGAGGGCTTGACCGACACGACATGGACGTTTTCAACTCGTATGTCGGTTTTCAGGGCCAAATCGAAAATATTCGGATCATATCGGGCATATCGGCCTATTTTTTAGCTTTGAAAAATCGGCCGATATGGTTTTTTTTTTAAGATCTGTTTTTTGTTATCGGGTTTGGGTTTAGTGATAAATACCCAAACCCGTTTGACCCGTTCTCATGTTTAAGGGTTTCTTATGAACCCGATAAAAAGAATTTATGAACCCAAATCCATATATTATTATTTTTTATATGTTTAGTCTATAGAATTTATAAAGTATGCTTATATTGAATTTATGAATGCTTAGATTACATTTAGAACATGATATTATACATATACGCACTACCCGATATGGCAATCCGATATTTAGTCAATGTCCTCCAATATATCCCCGATTTCCGCTATCCGACATGAATTTCAGCCATCCGACATAAACCCGACATCCAACATTTAAAACATTGATTAGTTCTACTTACTTGTATGACTTCTGTTCTCAATAAGAAAGAACTCAACTTCTTCATTAATAAAATAAATTGTGCCCCAGTATTTATTATCCATATTTTTAAATCATGCTGATGCATATGCATAAGTCAGTCATGCATAAAATAATTAGTCACAAGGCCATGGCTTAATTGATGAATTTTTTTGTTCCAGTCTTTGCTTTCTTATTTTTTAACTCTCAAGCATACTCATGTTTGATGGTGCATTACTATTTGGACTTTAAACATCCTGAAAATCAAGCATTGAACTTCAAATAACTTTTTCTTTGTGATAATCTTCTATCATATTTACCACGTGCAACACTTCACAACTGGGACAAGAAAAAAATTCACCACTTGCTCATAAAGGCCTTTTCTATCCTAACAGAACAAAAGGACATGTGAATTAATCATAAAGTTTTATAGCTTTTCAGCCTTTCATTAAGCTATACGTTCCTTCATCAAATTACAATGTTTCTGTCTTAAAAATGACACTTACTATTCTTAAGTAAAACCATAATGGACTTGCTTGTTTCTAGTGCTGGCTTGACTGTTTACCCACTATCAGGCCTTGTAGAAAATCATCAGCATAACCACTTTGTGTTAAGTCTGCTGATGCTCATGAAGGGGGAATCTAGTGAAAGTGAACAAGCTGTTGAAACATGTGCTTTGAATGCTGTAACTTATGGAGCTCTGAACTATTTAGCTTCTTGATATATATGCTACTTTGTTTGCATTTTAAAATGCCATTTTAGTAAAATGTTTCAATTATAATATTTCCCAGCAGGGGCTTTTGGTTCTAGAATGCATGGGAGATCAAATACTTCGAGATCTGGCTTCTATATGAAGATGGATATATGGAGTTTCAACAAGAAAGCTCCAATCTTGGGGTGTTATCCACAACGACCTCAAGACATTTCTCTTCTTCTTCATCGGCATTTGTCTCTGCAAGTCAGTCGCCCTTTTTCTCTCCACGTTCACCACAGGCTCAAGAACCCGAGCCAATCCTCAGAAACTCTTGCAGTGGTCTTATTATAAATGGGGATCTTTCTACTTCCACTATAGTTGTTAAGCAACCCAAATGCATATCTAATCTCAATTTTGTGCTTTCTGATGTTTCACCTGCACCTAGCTTTTGCCCGTCAAGTAATTTTGAAACCCCAGTAACTGTCTTCAGAGAGAATGGCATTTGTAGCTCCTCTAATTATAGCCAAGGACGAAGAGGGAAGCTAAAGAGAACAGGAAGATGCAAGCTTTCATTTGTTCGACCTTCTCCTTCAGTCTCCTCTTCCAGTAGGCTAAGAAGCTGTGATGTCTACATTGGATTTCATGGGAGAAAACCTTCATTATTGAGATTTGCCAATTGGCTTCGTGCTGAGCTTGAACTTCAAGGCATCAGTTGTTTTGCATCTGACAGAGCTCGGTGTAGGAACTCAAGGAGCCATGAGACAGTTCAAAAAGCAATGAATGCATCCTCCTTTGGAGTGGTGATCCTCACTAGGAAGTCATTTGGTAATGCTTACACCATTGAGGAGCTTCGACATTTCTTGGGTAAGAAGAATCTATGCCCAATTTTCTTTGATTTGGGTGTCGGCGATTGCTTGGCGAGAGATATAATTGAAAAAAGGGGAGAATTGTGGGAAAAACATGGAGGTGAGCTTTGGGTTCATTATGATGGATTAGAGAAAGAATGGAGAGCAGCAGTTGATGGGCTTTCTCGGTTATTGGATTGGCAATTGGAGGCCTATGATGGAAATTGGAGAGATTGCATATCAAATGCAGTGGTTCTTTTAGCTACGAGATTAGGAAGGAGAAGTGCAGTAGAGAGAGTAAATAGATGGAGAGAAAGAGTGGAGAAGGAGGAGTTTCCTTTCCCTCGAAACGAAGATTTTGTTGGGAGAAAAAAGGAAATCTCTGAATTAGAGCTCATTTTATTTGGAGATGTAAGCAGAGACTGCGAAAGCGAATATTTTGAGATCAAAACCAGACACAAGAGGAAAAATTTGATGATTGAGCGGTCGAAGAACTATCGAGGAGATGAGAATGCAACTGCAGAGCAATCAGAGAGCAAATCTGAGAAGGAAATAGAAATGCTCAGGGTGGGAAGTCCACAGAGGCAACTCCGTCCTCTGAGAACGAAGAATTGCGCAAATTATGGGAGAAGAAAGCGATCAACAAAGATATTATATGGAAAAGGAGTTGCTTGTGTCTCCGGAGATTCAGGAATTGGTAAAACTGAACTCATATTGGAGTATGCATACAGATTTTCTCAAAGATACAAGATGGTCTTGTGGGTGGGAGGAGAAAATCGATATATCCGTCAAAACTATTTGAATCTTCGTAATTTTCTCGAAATTGACCTCAGCATTGAACACCACTCTCTTGAGAAAGGAAAGGTGAAGTGCTTCGAGGAGCAAGAAGAAGACGCAATAGCCAAAGTTCGAAAGGAGTTCATGAGAGACATTCCCTTTTTAGTTGTGATTGATAATTTGGAGAGTGAAAAAGATTGGTGGGATCGAAAGAGTATTATGGATCTCCTCCCTCGTTTTGGGGGAGAAACTCACTTCATAATCACAACTCGTCTCCCTCGAGTAATGAACTTGGAGCCAATGAAGCTTTCTTATTTATCGGGCATTGAGGCATTATCTTTGATGAAGGGAGGAGTAAGGGATTACCCGATTGCAGAAATCGATGCACTCAGAGAAATCGAAGAGAAACTTGGCAGGCTTACACTGGGTCTTGGTATTATAGGAGCTATTCTCTCAGAACTCCCTATAACTCCTAGCAGACTTCTTGATACTATAAATCGAATGCCCTTGCGAGGTCCAACATGGAATGATAAAGAAGTGATAACTTTAAAGCGAAACCCTTTTCTGGTTCAGCTTCTAGATGTTTGCCTATCGATATTTGACCATGCTGATGGACCGAGGAGTTTAGCAACGAGAATGGTTCAGGTCAGTGGTTGGTTTGCTCCTAGTCCAATCCCAATCCCTCTCTTAGCTTTGACTGCGCACAAAATCCCAAGAAAGCACCGGCGCTCTAGGGTTTGGAGAAAATGCGTTGATGCAATAACCTGCAGCTTCTCAGCATCTTACATGAAGAGATCAGAGGCAGAAGCAGCTTCAATGTTGACAAGATTTGGGATTGCAAGAAACAGCACAAAACCTGATTGTATCCATTTTCACGAGATTATCAAGCTCTATGCTCGCAAGAGAGGATCATCAAGAATTGCACAGGCTATGATTCAATCAGTTTATCTCCGAGGCTCAATCCCTCAGTACCCTGAACACTTGTGGGCTGCTTGCTTCTTGCTATTTGGTTTTGGGAATGATCCAGTAGTCATCGAACCAAGCCCATCAGAGTTACTATTGTTTGTGAAACGCGTGGTTCTTCCTCTCGCTGTACACACATTCATCACTTTCTCTCGTTGCGATGCAGCATTGGAGCTTTTGAGATTATGTACCGATACACTAGAGCTCACTGCTGAATCTATGGTCTCGAGAGCTGAGAAATGGCTAGATCGATCATTTTGCTGCTTAAAGCCTGCGCATTCTGATGCACAGTATACATATTTATGGCAGGAGCTTGCATTGATGAGGGCTACTGTATTGGAAACACGAGTGAAATTGATGCTTAAAGGGGGGCAATTTGATATTGGAGATGATTTAATCAGAAAGGCGATTTTTATCAGGACATCAATATGTGGAGAGCATCATCCGGATACAGTATCAGCTCGAAATACACTGGGGAAACTTACCAGGCTTCTTACAAATATTCAGAGTTGAGATTAATGTTAGTTTATTTTCCTTTATTTATAGAGCAACATATTATTCTTTTATCCGATTTCATAGAGATCATATAAAATCTGGTAGCATCAAATAAGAGCTGTTCTTCTTTTTTTTTTTTCCCTCCTTATTTTGTAACGGTGGTTTGGCTAATTTAGATTCTGTAGTCCATTTCAGTTTTGCCTGTGTAGTTGTAGAAACTGTAATACTGATATAGTGTTTTTTGCTCTCTATTCTACTTGTCCTTTGAATTAGCTGCTGTCATCTTTGTATGAATGCAATCAAGTATCATCATTTTTGCAAGGATTAATTGCATATTCTTCCTATATTATTGGAGTCTGACCTGCTGTATGCCTAAATTATTTTAGTTGCATTTACATACTTTTAACTTCAGATGACACATGAAAATTGTGGGACAACAAATTATCTTTTTGGTCCTCAAATATAGTTGATGAAAAACTAAATTTGCCCCTTAAACTGAAGGCTAAAGAATAAAACTTTGTCGTCAGACTATTCTCATGTGACATATCAACTTAAAGGATGAAAAATGCCGTCTCAAATTTAGAGGAGATAAAGTGCTAATAAAATAATTTATGTAGTATAATAACTACATCCCTAAAAGGGTGCATCTGAAATTACTTTGGGGACAATTTTATGCTGACAATCTCGATCTATTGCCATTCTTATGAAGTGTAGAGGAGTAGGAATTGTATCTTGCAAAGTATATGTGGCGAAAATTGATTTTTATTTGTGGGAAGGTGAAAAATGAAAAGAAAGAAGCGTGAAATGTCAGTCAGGATGGCCGAGTGGTCTAAGGCGCCAGACTCAAGTTCTGGTCTTCGAGAGAGGGCGTGGGTTCAAATCCCACTTCTGACAACATTAGCTTGATTTTTTGGATTTAATTTTAGTTTCTCTAAATATTGGTTACGTTTTTCTTCCTTTTGTTTGCTTCAGAATAATAACGAAATAGAATAGCGAAATCTTATTTTGTTTATTTTTAAAACCGAAAATTTTCTTTTAATAACAAAATCTGATTTTATTTTATTTTACCTTGGAAATTAATATAAAAGCTTTATTTTTTTTCCCTTGTGCGAGGAACATTCTCCTTTCTCAGTCTAGATAATTAGCACAAGTGTTGCAACGCCAAGTAATTAGAAGCTAGAAATAGCTATATGCTGTAGAAATAGATTATGTTGGCCTTCTTGTTTTGATGATGTTTAACAAACAATTTATCACTAATGTTGTTTGTCTAGTATTTGTGTTTTTCTTATTTATTATAGACAAATAACGTTGTTGGGGATGGATGAAATAGAGCTTCAACGATCATATCCAAAGGAGGTTGGCGAATGTCGGTGAAACCTTGGCTATTCAAAGTTCAAGATCCAAGTTAAAGCTTCATCCGTGAGATTACCAAGTCAAGCTTATTGAAGATCAAGATAAGCTGAGTTAGTATAGGTTTATATATGTGTGTTAAGTACTCTAAGCTCAATTATTATACACACACATTTTATTAGTTTCCTTGTATATATATGTAATCACATATATATACAACACAAGTTTTCGGTTTCATGGTTTATAAAATGAAATTACAGAATCTTGCATATTTATTATTGTGATTTGTTTATCTAGATTAGATAGGGAAACAAATCATATTTTCATATACATACTTCATAGGTTTTATTTTCTATTGTATTTTGAAAAGAAAAATAATTGTTTTGAATTAGTTTATAGACTATTTAATTCAGTTCATACATGTATTTACTTAAAAGTCGATATATCATTTTGTAAAGTTTCAAAGTTGGTTTATGTCAAAACACTCAAAAATCAGAGTATCTCCATTATTTTCATTGTTTTGACATAGTTTGTAAAATGATGATATTTTTTCATTTGGGAAGTCCTCTTTTCGAAAACCAGATCGTCTGTAGGCATGTTTATTATCATGTTTACAATCATTCCCCAAGAGTTTTACATTTGTTTGGAATTTATTTGATATTTTTAAACAGGGTTTTAAAATCACGGCTCTAAAACCGATTTTCTGGAAATGTCAGTTTTCGGTTCGACCGTACGGTCGACCGTGTCCAATTGACCATTGTCCAGTATTTTTCCAGAGATTCGTCGGTCGACCAGGTCGGTCGACGGAGAGCTCAAATCGGTGACCGACAGAATTTCCGCGTCGATAGCGACGTTAGGATCCAGAAAGTTTTTTCTTCGTCGGTATTTGGCTCTCAATCGGTCGACGCAACGGGATTTTCTCGACGCGACAATATGCCGGTTGTCTTTGATAACGGCTCTCTTCTTGAGCCTGTTGCGGGGTTTTTGGTCATTTTGTTTTCGGGAGGTTTTTGGCTGAGGATTTCTAGTAGGGTAATTATACC